GTAGAGTGGAGTATCGGCGGAGTATCAGTGGAGTAGAGTGGAGTATCACTGGAGTAGAGTGGAGTACCACTGGAGTAGAGTGGAGTATCACTGGAGTAGAGTGGAGTACCGGTGGAGTAGGAGTGGAGTATCGGTGGAGTAGAGTGAAGTACCGGTGGAGTATGAGTGGAGTACCGGAGGAGTACCGATGGAGTAGTGTGGAGTATGCACTCCTGGAGTATCGCCTTTTCCCCCTTGATACGTACGGTGTGAGTGATGCACTTCTGCTTATTGAAGGTATTAGAAGTGTGTATATAATTTGTATGATTTCAGTGTTCGTTGCGTTTGATCACTGATGTGGGGATTGTTCTAGTGGAGTAGTGTAAAGTGATTATAATATTTGAATCTGCTCGGAAACGGTTAATGAGTTTCCGATGGTGGATTTATTTCGTTACTAAAGTTTTCTGATATAGGGTTTCCTAGGAGACGAAAATCTTTTAGAGTATAAACGAATAGAAAATGAATTGATAAACTCGATTGGTGCAAACTTTAACACAAACATAGCTCATCTTTTTTATCAAGACAATTAAATTTTTAATGCACCAATCGAATTATAGTTCTATTGAACAGAAAAGAACAATGAAAGATATACGAATGAAGAGATGAAAATAATGCCGCTCGGAAATATACTATCCTTGTTTTCATGACGATATAGAAGTCACACGCAATTTCAATTAGCGAATTAACTCCTATAGTTTACAAGAATACTGATTTTTAGTGAATAAATAAAACTCATTTATTTCTATAGTGTGTTCTGGATCAGACACATGAAGGAATATATACTTGTAAAAAATAAGAAAAATTAACAAAAAATGAGCATTACTATAGAAGGAATTTTTTGAAATGCCAAATAGAAGGCCACGCTCTTTTATTCTAGAGGACTTACCGATAGAATATGTATTGATTTACTGAGAAGATTGCCAATGTATGAAAAAATGTTACCTTAATTGATTAAAAACTATCTCTCACCTCGGGACGGGTGCGGATCACTTTTTTGTGATCCATGTCGAACACTCGCATGATACTTTGCTAATAGAAATTCAAGAATATAACCAACACGAAGAATTACAAAATGAAAGTATTTGGTTCTTCTTCCCATCATGTTTTAAATATACTCAAGAAAAAACATAAAATTATGAGCCTTTATTGAACAAGTTATATGAATGCACAAAAATTGTAGAACAAATATGAAAAGATGTAGTGAAGTCATTATATGAAGTCGCACAAAAATAAATAGCTATTTGGCAAATCTCACAAGAAGAAATAATTGAATTGCATAGAAATCTGGCCTCTTCGTTTTCATCTTGTTCACTTTTTGATTTGGCATCAAAAATAAAAAATCAGCAGTATCAAATTTCCATGAATAAATCCTTACCGAAAATTAAATACATGTATTCGACTCGTTAACTGATGTAATATAACTAAAGTTTTGTATATTCAAGACACTTTAGCTGAAACGAACTTGAAAATATAATACACTGTTTTTAATAATGAAGTTATTTGAATTGTTTTTAATTTTTGAAGAAATAAAAATAAAAGGGGAAAGAACTCTTTATACCATGGCACAGTTTACATGAGAATTCATTTGACTTGGGAATCAATAAACAAGCAAACATTATAGCATGAGTCATAAGATAATTAATGTTGATTATTTTTATTTAATGACTCAGCAATTTTAAAATTCGTTTCAACCAATCGCTCTATGTCCCTATGTCCCACTGCTCGAAAAAATTTCAAATATAGAGTAATACTGATCACTGATTTGCTCTATATTTCGTTTCAATTAATCATTCAATGTTCCCATATCCCCAGCATCAGAAAAAATATTTAATTATATTTCATACGAATTAAGCGAGAAATGATGTTATAGCAAATCACCTTGCAGCATTATTACGTTTTAAAACTTCACTGAAATCAATACCATGACTAATCTATACACTCACACAAGAAACAGTACATAAAAACTGAGATAACTCTTTATCAACCGAATAAAATAGGAACCTATTGTCATTATTCAAGAAATAACAATAAATATAAACTTCATAAGAAACAAACAAATTTTCTTGTGTGCGTACTAACGAAATTTATAAACAAACAAAATAAAGTAAAGGATTCCAATCTCAACTATATTCCAAACTCAACTGCAACGTACATAAATCTATTTCAACATGCTGAACTACAAAGAAATTTTCAATGTTTCTAATCAAATATTCATGAAAGATTGGATCTATTGAAAGACATGATCAATATCAGATTAAAACAATACCAATTTTTTATATAACGTGAAACCACTAACATATTAAGTCGTATTTTTTATTTTTCAGAAATTATTTCTATGAGTCATATTATTTATTTAGTTCTCTTTGTTTTAACATAACAAGTACGATCTTTAAGACCAACATAACATCGTTAAGAAAATATTAAGAAAGAAAAATTAAGGGAAATAAATTTGTCATATGTGGGACAAAATGTAAATGAATCATATTTATTTGCTTTTGAAAATTTTCAATTTTTATATAGAACAAAAGGAAAGAATAAATAAATAATAGACTATTCTACGAGGGAAAAAAACCACACAGGTAATCTTTTTCTTTCGAAGGACATATTTGAGAATAATATCATGATTACTCATTTCTTATTATATCCACGTGAAAATTTTTCAACGATGTTGGAAGAAAAGAAATGTTTTTTTTCTCAAGTCAACTTACATATTTATCTTGGCAATTACAATGAAATAAATACATTAGTCAAGTATTTTCTAATTATTTTTTGAATCAAGCAATGACTGACAATGCTGATGGATTAACAACAACGATGAAAACATTTTGTTTTAGTTCTGGTGAACTTATAACTCTTGAAGATGATCAAATTGAAAAAATACCTTATTTAATTGCTCTCGTATCTTCTGCTCATAATTTTCAATCAGTATGTGATAAAAATGGACATTTTAAACTAGATCCACTGATTCAATTTAAACAATTTTCTTTTGCTATTCAATCACTTTCATTTCATTCAGTTCGACAATTATTTACTCATTTGCCTAAAGCAAATGATATCATATCTATAATTGCATTGTTAGATTTTCTTGGTATTGGACCTCAATCAGATCCTTCATTGAAACATGTTGATTCAACTTTCTTTTCAAAAGTTGTATATAGTCCTTTCTTAAACGAAGACTTACAAATAATTCGACTATGGGATATTCAAAATATGGCTGTTCGATTTGCTATTGCAATGGCTAAGGGAGAATATGATTTTAATAATAGGGAAGTAATCGATCAAATATATTGGTTTTTAATGTTTATTTTAAGTGCTTATGAATATTTCGGACCTCGTCTTCGCCATCATGTATATGGAATAGCTAAACATTGGTTTTCTCTATTCAAAAGTTCTCGATTAAAATGTCTCCGAAAACTTGTATGCACAACAGAGAAAAATCGAAGAGTTCGATATTGGATTAATGATGGGGACGCTGATCCTGATGCAGAAACCGAAGACACTATGGAACAGTTATTTGCTAGTAATAAAGTGGAATGGTTCTATATGAGTCGCCATCCATCATTGCAAAGGCGCCGTGACCTTCTTAATCGAGCAAATTCTGATTATTATTCTGATTATTATTCTGAATGTTATTGCTACCCTCATCTATTTGGGTGTTGGAGACCAAAACGTGAAGAGGATATTTTGGACAGGGCACGTAAACGTTTAATAGAGATTATGTATATGCGTTTAGCAAGTCAAATATATCAACAAATAAGAGAAGCAATACGTAAACGTCAATTGAACTTCGAGCAACTAAAGAATGTTGAATCAATATTAGAAGATTTCTTCAAATGTAAACTCGTACAACAGGAAATGCGTGAGTGTATATTAGAATAAATATACGATTTGATGCCCAAAGTGGAGAAAACATATGATAAGTTATTGAAAAAGTTACAGGAATATAATTTGAATGAGGAAATATCAAATCGGAATGATATATTCTTCTGGATGATTGGCGAGCGTCCTTTTAAATATATTCAAGAAAAAGCGTTAAAGTATGAGCGCTTATTGGATAGATTACATGAATGCTCAAGTATAGTAGAAGAAATACGAAACGATGTAGTAAAGTCATTGTATCAAGTCATAGAAAAACAAATAGGTACCTGGGAAAACACAGTAAAAGAAATAGTTGAATTGCATCGAATACTTTCAGATACGTCTACAATGAAACCAATATTCGATTTTACAATGAAACCAATATTCGATTTGTCATCAAAAATAAAGCATAAACACTATCAAATGCCAATGAATAAGCCTTTACCGAAAATTCAACGCAAGTATTCAATACGTTAAGAAAAACATGATTAACGGATTTAGTCATGTTCGAGAGGCTTTTACAGGAAATGAACTTGAACATTCAATATGCTGTTCATGAAAATGAAGTTGTTTGAATGTTTTTCTATTTCTGAAGAAATAAAAGTAAAAGGTGAAGCAACTAATCATAGAAAATGATATCTATTGAAAAATTAGGAAGATTTCATATTAAAATAATACTAATCTTTTTATGCAAAGTGAAAGCAGTAACACATAAAGTCGTTTCTAAGCTTTTAGAAATCATTTATATGAATTATATTATTTATTTTAGCTTTCTTTTCACATAAAAATTATGATCACTAAAGACAACATAATATCGTTGGGAAAATACTAACAAAGCAAAACTGTAGGAAATAAATTTGTCATATGTTGAGGGTGTTGTAACGCATCTGTACCATGCGTTGTATACATGATATGTTTTCTCTTCTTACTAGTTCTTCTCATCGTATATATTGTCCTTACTTAGTGCCATGTATTGCACTTTATCCCTATCAGATTACATTTATTTTATGCCATTGTTGTCCTTTTCTTTGCTGTTATCTCAGTGACTTTTATGAAAGAGTATATAAGCGTATGCTTTGTATGTAAACAACATGATTCTTGATAGGAAGAAATACAATAAAGTGTAGTTCCATCCGCATTAGCTCTTCTTCCATCTAAAATATCGTCACAGGTGTGAGTGTGAGTTTCATAAAACTATCGCATTCAGGGATTCGTCCTAATTTTCTAGGAGGAATCATCAGGTGGTATAAATAAATCTGCATAAGATCTAAAAAAACTCAATTTCAATTGACAGCATTAACATTCTCCAATATTAAATTGAATTCCCTAGATTTATAACAGCAGTTAGTCTTATAAATCTCTAGGTGAGTAACAATAAATAACTAGCACTACCCGGTAGGATTTCAACTCAATAGGAGAGAAATCATCAGGTGACTATTTTGAATCTACATGGTTAATCAAAAACTCTTAGAATTGAAAAGATTAGCAATAGATGTCTTCTGAAGCCGAATAAACTCTGGATTATATTTCGTAGGTAGCCCTATTGTCTTTAAGTTTTTGCAATTGTGTTAGGTTAAATTTGAACACTTACTATAATGTTTATGAGCTGTTGGATGATGAAGATTTGATTTTGATATTCTTCTTGGTGTTTATTTTTGTCCAAAGAATAGAAAAAATATTTGATATGTTGTTTTTGATGAAGAATAGAGACTTACTTATAATATAATGAACACTATGAATGAAAATGATGTACAAAATATGTAGCTTTATATACTGTGTCTTATCAGTGAAGCGGATGTGGTGCGTAAGTGCAAAAATTTTGAGTGGAAATATATATCGTTAGTGGAAAAATTGCATTTTTTTCCTAGATATGCGTATGTGATGCTATGCAATTGCGTAGAAGTATGTGAAAGAATTTATGCTTGAGAGTTGAAATGTTTTGGAAAGATAAGAGATTGGTATTTTGTTGAAGATGAGCTGCCGTGACTAGTATCGGCCTTGCTCATGTGTCTTATCACACGGCTTTAAACAATAATATGAATTTCATATACCCCCCTGAAAAAAATAGTTGCACTCAGTATTTTGCATTTATTGTCATTATAAAAAGACATTTATTTAAAACCAATTACATATTCTGAAAGCTCGTGGAGTTTTCTATCATCCTGTATATTTACCTATTTTCTTGCATTTATTTATTGAAAAATAATTTGAGCACAATGAAGGCACCCTCATGTTCAGATTCCCACAGACTTGATTTTCTCACTGCACTCAAAATAAGTTTTTAAAATTCTTCATCACTATAGGATTAGCTTTTTAAAAAAGCAATCATATATCTGATAGCGCTTGAAATTCTCTATCTTTCTATATATTGCTCTACTCTATTATATCTATCTATTGTGAAAATAATTTGAGGACAATGAAAATACCCTCAATCAACAAGTACAAAAATTCAGTGTGTCGTATGTTTTTGCAATAGTATAGATACAAAGAAAATAGATTTTTACAACAGTAAGGGTGGGTGAAGGTGTCCGTTGGAAATTAATGTGAAGAATCACACTTACACCAACCCACACCCATTCTCGATTCTAAGAGTTCAAGGGTTCTAAGAGTTCAAGGGTTCTAAGAGCTCCTACTACCAATAAATTGTACTGTATTGTTAGTTGAGCAGTTCTGAACTCGTGGAATCCGGTCACCTCTCATTATTTTGAATAAAAGTATTTGTTGTTATAGGATGATGTTGATTATTTTATTAAAAATGTTTATTGTAGAAAAAGAAAATGCTAAATGATTTTTTTTGTCACAATTCTATATTGGTTAAAAAAACGTTTATCTCGTTATACGTCGCAAACAAATAAATCATTTATTAATTTAATTGCAGATTCTCAGCAAAAAACAACAATTCATGTTCAATATTTATCATTTAACTTAAATAATATTGATTAAAGAGGAAAAAATTGTTTTATCTTTATTTGAAAAATATTCAAATAATATAAATAAAATTCAATCAATTGTTTTTCTTCAAACAAAACAAGAATGTGATTTATTAGCTAAATCAAATGAAATCTCTTCCTTCTATTTCATCAGATGTTTTCATAGAAATCTTACACAAAGAAAACGAGAGGTGAGATTTTTGTTATTTTTATTTTGAAATAAAATAATTTTTTTAAAGGATTGGGAAATAAAATAAATAAAACTTTTTGAAAAAAAAACTGTATGATCGATCTTTTTTTTAGTTTTATCTTTATTTCTTAGAATATTCATTTTACGAATATTGATCCATATAAATTTATGTCTCTACAAGAACATGCAAACACCATTGAGAAAACGAATGATTATTTAATAAGATTTTATTTTTGAAAAATGACTAATTAATTGATGCATCTTGATCGATTATGTAAGACAATTATTTAAAAAAGCATAATTTTTCCTTTTATTTCGATTAAAAATTTGACCATTAGAGGGTCGCCCATATATTAACAGAACATTGAAACAAGTATCAATATGACCTTATCAATAGACAAAAAAAATTTTCTTTCAATTTAATATCTCTTATATAAATATTTTCAATCGATCTTTAATCAACTAGTTTTATCATTTATTATTGAATCTTCATCACAAACATCTAAATGATTAATAAATTAAATTAATGTTTAATATTTATATACAAAAAAAATTCAGACGAGGACTTTTTGTAGTTATTGGTTCTCTACTGCAAAATTTTTTTCACAATTTGTTCATTATCTTATCATATCTTTTTTTTACTTTATCTAATATCTTTAAGGATTTTTTTTAGAAATGTCGTATTATTTTACGGACAGATCTATTAAGAGACTTTTAGATTTATCTTACATAATTTTCTTATTTGTTTTTATATATTCTAAATTAACTTTATTGTTAAACAAACAAACAAAAAAACAAAACATTAATCATAACCATAAATTCATCAATATAATACAAAAATATGTTTATATTCAAAATAAAAATTTGCAATAATGGACTGTTGAAAATATTCTAAATCTCATTTATTATCGGCAGCTGATTGGCAATAATCAATTTGATCGAAAAAAACAATCATTTCGCATAATCTTCCAAGTTCAGATCTTTCATTTACAGTAGAACATACTACAGAACTAAATAAATCTGGTGTACATATGTTTGAATTATTGGTAATCTAAATAAAATATATTTATTTCACAACTTTTATCTGTTGTTAAACAAACAATTACAATAAAATGTTAAGATTTCAATTTTAGAAGAAAATATAATAGTAATAAAAAAAAGAAGACATAAGAAAAAAGTTAAAAAGGATAGGATTATGTCCGACGAAAAAAATTTGAATCTTCAGAAATTTTTTTCTATTCGTCTTCTTTTTTCAATAAATATTATAATGATTTTCAGTTTTGGTTTGAAAGTCGAGCAATTCGTAGATAAGATCGAGACATAAAACGATTACGAAAATACTTCGATGTTAATTCTGTTGAGGATGATGAGCTATCTGAGGATGCAGAGGAGTTTTTTATTGATGGTGGTGATGATAAATCTATTAATGATAGAGGTGGAGCTTTCTTATTGATGCTTGATGGATCACCACTATGTTTAAAGTAATAAAACCATCATCAGTATATTTTAAAATAAATTTTCTTGAAGACTTACACTGATAAATATGAACTGATTGAGCAATCCTCAGTCTCTCTTGAAACAAGATTCGTTTCTTTTGCAGGTGAAAGAACAATTTTTTGGGTAGCCTTACTAAAATATTGCAAGATTGTTGTTTGTGTGGTCTTGGGTAGTACTTCTAACGTTTTTTTTTTGTTTTTTTCTAGTTGATGTTGAGCTATCAGATGCTATTGACCTTTTAATTGATGCAGGTGCTACCAGACGTTCTTGAATATTACTTATGAGAAAAAAGGTAAAAATAAAAATCAACATCCTCAATAATAGCTTTATGAAATGTGTTTACTTTGCACATGAACTAGATTTTAAAATATTATTAGCTTTTTCAGATAATTTCGCTGAAGAAG